TGTGAGCCGATCTAGTTCAAAATTACAATGTCTTCTATCGGCTAATCTTATTATCCGTTTTGTTTTGTATCTATGATTAGAGAAGAAATCAAGGATAAAGCCAGCATGCGTTGGCTTTCTATATACATCCCTGCTTAACTTTTCATCTGTTCTGATCACTAAAGCATCTAAAAAGGGTTAATTATTTTCCTTCTCCATCTCCATTGTCAACTGAACATTGCAATCAATTGGTTAATTAAAAACAAAAAAATATCTAAATTATCCTTACAATGCTGTCATATGACAAAGTAGTCATCCATTTATCTAACTAACAGTTTGAGTGTCAATCTTACTTCTTCCATGAAGTGTTCGTCCACATCAAGACTAACCAAAAGATCCTTCTCTTCAATACTATGTTGATCTAGCAATTTAATAAATTAATATGAATTCTTCACTGAATATTTCCAATACTCAGTTACTTTTTTTAATTGTTTGCAGAGGAAACGTGAAATCCTATGAATCCCTTTTCTTATTATTAACAAGCAATTTTAAAGAAACTTCTTCCATGTGCATTTGTGAAACCCAACTTTACTTATACTGCTACAGAGCCACGACAGTTTTGGGTTATAATAGCCACGTTTTAAGGCAAATTGAAGAGAAGGCAAAATAGGCATTTTGTCAGAGCTGCAGAGTTGTCGCCCTGTATTGACCAGAGAATGATACATGTAATAAAATCAACGTTAAGCAAGAATGTTTAAAGAAGCAAAGATAACGTGAACCATTTTAAACGAGCGATTTCACACCATTTCAGTCTGACTGCCCAAGTTCTCGATGCATTTCAGCATTAGCTAAACTCTTCCAAGCAGAATGAGGAAAGTCGATATGCGAAGATTCCATGCAGCACATATTGTGGCACCTCAGAAAATCTCTCCAAAGGAAGGCTCTTACAAATCAGAACGCCAAATGGGAAGGGGCTTCAAGGACGACAGGTCTGAGAGGCCTCGAGCCAGTGAATACTGACGCCAGTACCAGGAGAAAACCTACTCCAACTCACCTCACATATTGACGCTAGCCGAGTCTTTGATGTCGGTGCCACCGACCGTGGAGGCGGGACTGGCAGCCACTGTTAGTCCACTCGTCGTATTCGTGACTGAGGTCATCGTATTGTTGGTCTTCCCTGCAGAATGGTTGGGTGTGCGCCCCTTGGAGGATCGTACTATAACGGGCATGTTGGTTGATTCCAGTTTGGCCATCTCTTCAGCCACGAGGCGAACGAGGTCAGACCAAGGCTTGTCAGTCAAGAGACGGCGCCAACGGTTGAATAGCACATTTATATATTCTAGCTTCTGATTTGGATCCCCTCTGGATATCGGGTTTTCAAGCATATTGAAGAATAGCGCAAAAGGTTGACGCATGATTATAACGAAAGTTGGATTCGGGATGAAAGAAAATGGCAAATTGAATTGTAGAAAAGAGCCAATTCTAGGTAATCTTGGAGGTATGTATGCAAGATGAGGCTAGACGGAAGAATGGATTGGCGAAGAAGAGAGAAGCGCAAAACAAATCAAGGTGTGGCTTGGTAT